GCAGTCCAAAGTGAGATAGTGAGAGTTCAGAGGCATTATATTCCTGTTAGAGCGAAAGGCAAAACTGGTAAAAGTAGGGAACAATGGAAGAATAAAGGTATTGAGGTTCTGGTCATGAATAAGAGGGAGTCCAAGATTAGGAAAAGACAACTGGGATCAAGTGAATCTCTTGAACAATGTAGGGATTGAAGAGTCATTGTTAAGAGAGAACTCGGGGGCAATAAGAGGCTTTGAGATGGCATTGGCAGATAAGGTGAATGAAAATTCCAAGAGATTCTGCAAGTCAATTAAAAGCAAAAGAGCAACTTAGTAGTTAATCGGAATCCTTAAAGAAATCATCTATATATTGAACCATAGGAAATGGGAGAGATACTAAATGAATATTTTGCATCAGTTTTTACTATGGAGAAAGAAATGGAGGCAAGGGAACTCGGGAGAAATAAATATAGATGTCTTAAAAACAGTCCACATTATACAAGAGGAAGTGCTGGAGGTCTGAGAAAGCATAAAGGTGGATAAATCTCCAGGACCTGATCATGTGTATCCCAGGATGTTGTGGCAGGTCCCTATGAATTTCTACAGCGTGATTATGGGAGTTTAGTTTATAATCTATCCATGTCTGTTTATGCTCCGTAAATGAGTGTCTACTTACCAATCTGTCCCTGTCAGCCTCTGCGTGGCAAATATGTGAATATGTTCATGAGAAACTTAGAGAAACAGATTAAAATCAGACTCTCACATTCACATAGTACAAACTGAAAGGTACAGTTTGAAAGCAGTCATTCACAGGGCAGAATCTGACAGGTACATATTGATAACTATAGTCACACACTCACCATGCAGAAAATGACAGCCACAGATCAAAAACTAAACTCACATTTACACTTGCATAAGGTTGTCCCATTCTTGGATATGTACAAGTTTAGGTTAGATTCAGGGTGTCACTCAGTTGATATGGAGTTTAAAAAAAATCTTCAGATGAAGCAGCTCTGGGAAAGAGTGAAATCAGATCCATAGTTCTGTTTGAATTGCTGGCTTTAAGTTGAAATAAAATCCTAATTATTATTAACAGACTGTTAAAGTGAACAGTTTGATATTAGTGAAATCAGCTGATGCTGATTTACAGGAGAATCGCTTCTGTCCTCCAACAGGAAAATATTTAAAGTACAAAGACAACGTAATATTTCCTCAGGACAAAGCTAAGTGTGACCAGCTCTATCGAACAAACAGCAGATATGTTACAATTGTCCGAGCAGAGAACATCCTTTCCACAGAGACAGAGCAGTCTATGTTAGAATCACAATAAGCTCAATTTTCAGTGAGATATTTTCAAACTGAGTCAGACACCACCAAGGAACTGCAGGTTTATTTTTTTCTCCCTCCATTCACAAGGCAAACCACTCCATTTCCAATAAATGTCACCTTTCACAGCCGATTGACATTTACACCACTTTTGAAGAGGGATAGGCTGAATCCTCATCCAAAATATACACACAGTACTGAAATCAAATCTATATCTATTAAGGACATTTTTAAAGTTACAACCAAGGTAATAAAGTGATTAAGCTTTTGTATAGTTTCAACAATCTTGTATAAGGTAGGTGTTAAATAGAAATATGGAAAGAAACTGCACTCTCAGACAGGACACAGTCCCCAAAATAAAGGATGAATCAGACTTACATTTAGTTACGAACCACTGAAAAGGACAGAATGACTCCTTTTCGTAAATCTTTATCCCTAAGATAGGCGTAACAAATAAATAATGTGAATTCCAAACACACATTCTGTGCCAAAGTCTGACAAGTAGACAAACCAAAGAGCTACAAATGCTAGAAATCAGAAACCACTCCAGAAATTGCTGGAGAAACTCAGCAGGGCAGGCAGAAGCTATGGAGGGAGAGCAGCATTAATGTTTTGGGTACAGTGACCCTTCTTCAGAACTGAATTTTTCCAGGAATTTCTGTTTTTGTTTCTGTCAAATAGACAATGATGACTGCACGCATGCGCACACAGCTCCTTACTGATGGAAAATTAGATCCAAAAGCAAACACGATAACTACTAATGGCCATGGAAATCCATATACAGTGCATGTAACTGAAAATGATACGTACAATATGATTATCACTTATACATTCAGAATGATAGAGGTCTACAGCACAGAAAAATATCCTTCAGCCCATCAGCTTTGGAGCGGATACAAAAAATGTCTACCATGATGTTGTCTGAAATGGGGGATTTTAGCTACACTCGCATGCACAAACTGACAGACAGATAGCTAACTATACTGCCATATCCACTTAGCAGAAGCTGACAGGTACAAATTTGATAATTAAACTCCCATATTCACATAGCGGAAAATGATAGGTATAGATCAAAAACTACGACTCCACTTTCAATGAACTATGAACCTGCACTCCAAGATCTCTTTTTTTCAGCAACACTCCCCAGCACCTTACCATTAAGTTTATAAGTCCTGCCTGATTTGCCTTTCCAAAATGCAGTGCCTCGCATTTATCTAAATTAAACTTCGGCTGCCTCTCCTTGGCTTATTTGCCCGTCTGATCAAGGTCCCATTCATTGTACTCTGAAGTAACTTTCTTCGCTGTCCGTATCACCTCCAATTTTGGTGGTCATCTGCAAACTTACTAACCATAACTCCTATGTTCACATCCAAATCATTTATATAAATGACAAAAAGCAGTGGAGCAGCACTGATCCTTGTAGCACACCGCTGGTCACAGGCCTCCAATCTGAAAAATAACCACTACCACCACCCTCTGTTTTCGACCTTCGAACCAGTTCTGTTTCCAAATGGCGAGGTCTCTCTCTATTCTGTGTGATCTCACCTTGCTAACTACTCTACCATGAGGAACCCTATCAAATGCCTTACTGAAGTCCATATAGATCATGTCCACCACTCTGCCTTCTTCAAGCCTCTTTGTTATTCCTTCAAAAAACTGTCATATTGGTGAGACATGATTTCCCATGATCAAATCCATGTTGACTATCCCTAAATAGTCCTTGCTTTTCCAGATATATGTAAATCCTGTCCCTCAGGATCCCCTCCTACAACTTGTCCAACACTGATGTCAGGCTCACTGGTCTATAGTTTCCTGGCTTTTCCTTACCATCTTTCTTTAATAGTGGTACCACATGAGCCAACCTCCAGTCTTCTGGCATGACTACTAAATTTACTTATTTGGATAGCAGAAGCTGATAGGTACACATTGATAACTACAAACCAATAGGGAAAGATTGATAAATACACTCCCACATTCACATAGCACAATCTGTACTGGATAGACTGATTAGTTACACAAACATATTCACTAAATTGACACTGACAGGTGCAAATTGATACCTGTAATTAAGCATTTACAAAGCAGAAACTAAAAGGGTCAGATTGGTAAATACACTCAGACATACACGCAGCAAGTATTGACAGGCACCATTTGATAAATACACAAAATAAAAATGGACAGGAATAAATTGATGAGAACACATCGAGTTGAACATAATGTAAACTGAGATGTACAGATTGATAACTTCATTTACATTCACTAAGCAGAAACTAATAGTTACAGTTTTGTAACTACTCAGCCATTCATACAACAGAAACTAACAGGAACAGAATGATAACGACATACATATTCACAGAGCAGAAACTGCCAGGCATAGATGGATAACTTCACATAGACTTTCACAAAGCTGCACAGGCCAGGGAGAGAATAACTACACAGACATTCAAAAACCAAAAACTGACAGATAATTGCATTAACATATTAACACATTTGAAATTGCATTAACACAATCAAAAAACTAGGAACTGATGGGTAGAGATTAATAATTGCATCATACATTCACAAAGCAGAAACTGACAATTACAGAATAATGATTGCACTGTAAAATTCACAGGGCAGAATCTGACAGGGACAGATAATGAGATACACGTTCTCATTGCAGAAACTAACAGGTACAGGTCGACAACTACATTTGCATATTCAAAGAGCAGAATCTGACAGGAACAAATCAATAACTAAACTCCTGTTGAAACAGCAGAAACTGACATGTAGAGACTGATTACAACACTCCCATTCTCATAGCTGAAACTGGCAGGTACAGAATGAAACATTTATTCACATTCACAAACTCGATACTGACAGGCATTAATAACTATAGTCTCACACACACAACAGTGTCTGACAGGGACAGATTGGTAAGTACACTCTCACGTGCACATAACAGTAAATGTCAGAGAAAGACTGATAACTACACTTTCATATTCCCAAAGCAGATACTGACAGGAACGGGTTAATAATAACACTCCCTGTTTCACACAGCACAATGGACATGTACGGTTCTATAACAACACACATTTTCACAGAGCAGAATCTGACAGGCACACGTTGGTAACTATACTCACATTCACTGAATAAGGTCTGACAGGTATAGATGGATAAACAAAACTCACGTATTGACAGAGAAGAAACTGAGAAGAATAGATTGATATCCGCACTCATAGATATAGCAGTCCAACGTGAATGCCACTGACTTTTTCAGTAAATAAAGTCCAGAGAAAATCCACATAAACTGGCTCATTTTGGATGTGTGAATTTATCAGGAAGTAACAAGCTCTGTGTTAATTACATACAGTAGAGGACCAGAAACTGACATGCGGGGCTGGAAACACACCCCTACAATCCCAAATCATCATCACAACGAGCACAATGTACCGAACCGATACTTTCTGTCCTACAGACACGAAACAAATCTCCCTCAGTCAGATTGACAGAAACAAAATTAACTTCCACTTCACATTTCGTGGCGGATCCTGAGAGATCCACACTGAGTCCCACATTAACCAATCACAAAACGTTGAGTTTCCCGACTTGACGTCATTTATGCTACCCAATCAGGAACAAGACTTTCCCCCATCTTTCATTCGCATTGCTGACGACATCAGGCTATAAAAAGCGAGCTCCGAGCCCGCTTTCTCTTATTCTGTGTCTGAAACTGACCGTCGTTATGGCTGATGAGAAGAAGTCGCAGTCAACCTCCAAGAAGGGCGCAAAGAAAATCATCAAGAAGGCGCCAGGCAAAGGCAGCAAGAAAAGGAAACGATCCAGGAAAGAAAGTTACTCCATCTACATCTACAAAGTGATGAAGCAGGTTCACCCCGACACCGGCATCTCCTCCAAGGCCATGAGCATCATGAACTCGTTCGTTAACGATATTTTCGCGGGGGAGGCATCCCGCCTGGCCCATTACAACAAACGCAGCACCATCAGCTCCCGGGAGATCCAGACCGCCGTGCGGTTGCTGCTGCCTGGGGAGCTGGCCAAGCATGCCGTGTCGGAGGGTACGAAAGCGGTGACCAAGTACACCAGCTCCAAGTGAGATCCCACATTGTGCTGCAAAACACGCATCCAAAACCCAAGGGCTCTTCTCAGAGCCACCCACAACTTCATTGAAAGAAGCTGAGCTATTGTATTTTCATTACTGATTTGCTTTAGTTTGAAATTGATTCTGGGGAATCGTCTATTTATGCATTTGGCTGTTTAAGTTTGTGTGATAAGTGGTCGCTGTTCTTCTCCACTTTATTTTCCGTTGTGTTCACATACAGTCTCTTCCCTACCTCCAGAGAGAGAGCAAATTAAACCAGCCATTGATGATCTAATTCTGTCAGTTATCCTTTCATACTCGGTCAGTTCAGTAGCTGCACGCCCTGGTGGAGGAGGAACCGTGAAGTTTATCCATGGGGGAAAAAAAAGTCTCCCTGTCTTTGAATCCCCTGAATAGGTACATTTTGAGATCGCTGGTCTTTTGTTTTAATTTCCAAATCTCCACGGGAGTTGTGTCCGTTTGGAAAATGCTGTAAAGGAGGCTTTCTTCTGTGGGTGAGAGACTTTCAAAATGAACCGAGATAACCCAGAACTGGAACAGCAAATTTGTGCTTTTGCTGAGGTATGATTAGGTAAGATAAGGGACCGCGAATTTAAAATATTGTCCAGAGACGGTGTTCGCTGTTAATGCGCTCACCGGGAAGAACGATGTCTGATGCTTTATCAATATACCGATAGGCTTTTTAAATAAATTGAAAGAAAAAGAATGCTGCAGACTATGGCTTTTGGCGCTTTGATCTTGTTTCCGCGTGTACTTAAAATTCAGAAAATCCCATTAAAGGTCCGAAATTAAATGGACTGAATGAGGTAAAGAGATTGTGTGAAACGTACATCTGTAAGCTCAAACTAAACTAACTCGTAAGTCTTTGCGCATTCCTCTTTGTAAAATTCCCTCTTTTGTACATATTGGCGGGCTTTTCGAGTATGAAAGAAAGCGGTTGATGATTTGGCGCCGGTATTTTCCGGCCTCCTCCCCGGGCCATCTCCGGATTGGTGAGTGAAGCAGATATCTGATTGGGAATTGAAACTACATTCGGAGGAGCTGAACAACGTGGCCAATCAGCAATGGCCGCACCACCATTCCTCCCGAAGGTATAAGAGGGCGGAATGTGGACGTATTGCATCATTCTCTGTGAAAGTGCTTGTGAGATTGTGGCCATGTCTGGGAGAGGAAAGGGCGGTGGTGGGAAAGCTCGCTCCAAGGCGAAGTCCCGGTCGTCCCGGCCTGGCTTGTAGTTCCCGGTGGGCCGTGTTCACAGGCTCCTGAGAAAGGGTAACTATGCTGAGCGTGTGGGTGCCGGAGCGCCGGTCTGTCTGGCTGCGGTGCTCGAGTATCTGACGGCTGAAATCCTCGAGCTGGCTGGTAACGCGGCCCGGGACAACAAGAAGACCCGCATCATCCCCAGGCACCTCCAGCTGGCTGTGCGCAACGACGAGGAGCTCAACAAGCTGCTGGGAGGGGTGACCATCACTCAGGGCGGGGTGCTGCCTAATATCCAGGCTGTGCTACTGCCCAAGAAAACCGCCGCTGGGGGCGCCACTAAAAAGTGAAGAGACCGTTATTTCATCTGACGACCCAAAGGCTCTTTTAAGAGCCACCCACAGTGTCTGTGAAAGAAACTAGACCTTCACCACTGCCGATTTAATTTTAATTTCCTTTATATTACTGAGAGACCGGTAACACAAATATTCACCCTGCCATCAGTTAGTGTTACTGAGCTATAACCGCCTGGACGGAATGTATCCATGCGGCAGTTTCCTGTAATTGCATTGGAAAGATCCGACACTGGTGGAGGAACATCAATAAATTTAGAAATCGGGAAATAATGACCCCGCTAGCCGCAAAGCGATTCAGTATCTCTTGACGTGATGTTTCGACCAGATATAACTATCTGCAGTACTGTACCCCCTCCGCATATGCTTTCTTTCCTAATCTCGGGTCTCCGCTCTCAATGTGAGGTTTTGGGTGGCTCTGAAGAGAGAATGGCGGTTGTATGTTTAGCACTGAAGCAGTTGTTGAACGTGTGCTGTATTTTGTGTCGAATGATTGATTTAAAGATTTGAGATTGTTTCATTTGTTTTATTTCAACTGCGTTTTTTTGTTGATGAATAAGCTGAAACGAGTATTTAAAACAAACCAGCATCTAATCGATGGTTCTGGCGATTTAAGTCTAGGATTACTGATACCAATGTTCATGGACTAGAATTTAATCGAGTGGATTGGCGTGATTTATATCTGGATATGCGTGTGAATTACAGGCTTCAATATCCTTTCGCAATTTAGTGTTGTACTGTTTGCAACGTTCCCGAGGTGGCACTGTACCATATCACATACAATCACGAGTAAATAGCGAATATGAGACATACACCTGCATCCAGTGGTGAGATGGGAGTGAATTCATCCACCCATGAGCTTTATTTGATCGCAATTTTTTTTATTTTATTTTATATTTAGACACTCGAGATTTGAAAGTCATAACAGGTTAATATGGAATTGGAGAAACTGTTTGTTTGTGGAATGAATTCAAATGGAGTGGCAGATGGAGTTTACATCAGGTAAATGTGAGGTGCTACTTTTTGGAAAGCCAAATCAGGCCAGAACTTGCACTCCTTGATGAGGAATGTTGCTGAACAAAGAGACGTTGCAGTGCAGATTAATAGTTCCTTGAAAGTGGAGTTGCAGGGAGATGGGATAGTGAATAAGGTATTTGGTATGCCTGTCTGTATTGGTCAGTGCATTGAGTATGGGAGTTGGGAGGTCATGTTGCATCTTTACAGGGCATCTGTTCGGCCACTTTAGCAATACTGTGTGTAATTCTGGTCTCTCTGCCATAGGAAGGATGTTGTGAAACTTGCAAGGGTTCAGAAAAGATTTACAAGGATGTTGCCAGGGTTGGAGGGTTTGAACTGTTGGGAGAGGTTGAACAGGCTGGGGCTATTTTTTTTCCTAGAACCTCAGCAGCTGAGCAGTGACCTCTATAGAGGTTTAGAAAACCACGAGGGAGATGGATAGGGTGAGTAGCAAGGTATTTTCCCCAGGGTGGCAAAATCCAAAACTAGAGGGGGTATAGTTTTAAGGTGTGAGGAGGAAGATAATACGTGACCGATAGGCAACTTTTTCAGAGGGTCGTGCATGTGTGGAACGAGCTGCCAGAGGAGGTTGTGGAGGCTGGTACAATTACAATGGTTAAAAAGCATCTGGAGGTGTATATGAATAGGAAGGGTTTCGAGGATAAGGGCCAAACTCTGGCAAATGGGACTAGGTTAATTTAGGCTGTCTGGACCAACTCGTTCATGTCGACCAAAGGGCCTGTTTCCAAGCTGTACAATTCTACGATTATGACAAAGAAGTAAATTCAGTGGCTGATTTGACTTGTAAGCTTTTCTGTATATTCACATTTGAAGCATAGAGAGGAATCCAGGCAGTGTGAAGCACTTAATTATCTCAGATCACTTCCTGGAAGCAAGTTGTGGGAACAGCATCCTCAACAATCAAAACCCAAATGTCTTCAAACAACTCCCCATGTCCTTCTGCCAAATAAACTGACATTTTCTAAAATGCAAGGAAGTATGAATGAAACAGCTTTTACCATGCTTTCCCTGAACAGACAGAGTTCCAGCCTTATTTTCCACATATGCAAGATTCAGTTTAACATAAATTAAACCAGAACTTTCAATGTCCCTGCACCCATTTCGCATCCCACCCATTGGTTTGTTGTCCATTTTATCAGAATCCCTGTATCCTCCTGAAGTTAGCTCCACTTCTTTTCCTTGTTTACACCATTGCCAAATTATGTCATCTCAAAACTTATGCTATGGCCTGGGATCCTGTGCACAGTCAGCTACTCAAAAAAAAACTGACTTTATCCCTTCACCATGAATACATTTGTCCCTCACATGGCCATTTAAGCTGTCCCATCATAATTCTGACAAGAATTGGAGCAGAGTTATATATAAACAGGGGAGGTTACATAGAGTAAAGCTTTGTCTGAACAAATACTTGAAGCATATCCAGGATAGATCAGTTGAACCATTGAAATTCTGGGAATGTGCACTGTGTTTTAACAAATGTTGCATAAACTAACAAGTGGTCGCTGACCCTATGCACACCTTATTCTTGGATGCATTCACATGCATCCCGTTTTCCCTGCCTGTACAGAGAGAGAGCATATTACACACCAGGGAGTCATTTTAACAACATCTGTGTGTTCAAGTTCCTTTTTTAATATTCAATTAGTGCAGGAGATACAAACCCTGGTGGAATATGAACCCTGTGTTTCACACCCAGCAAACAAGTGTCCCCATCACTTGCCAGCAAGCAAAAGAAAATTATTTCCCTCTGAGTTCCACAAATAGATTTTACATTTTACGTGTTTCCTTTTTTTCATTAATTTGTAAATCTCTGCAGGGGTCCTGCCTGGTGGTAGAATACTGTAAATGAGGCTTTCTGCTGTCAGTGCGAGGCTTTCAAATTGAACCGAGATAAACCAAAACAGCTGCTGGACTTTCCACCACCAGCAAAAACACAACGTGACCAGGGCAATGCTTACATGAAAAAAGTGACAAGAAGTAGGGATCAATTTAAAATGGAGTTGGAGGGCTGCTTGTGCATTATTCATTTTGAAACTTTCTTTCTGGGAGAGGGAGGGATTTCTTCTGTGAATATCCACCTTAAGTCTGGTACGCAAGTGAGAGTTTCACTCTGCTTCTGACAGTCTTTGCTCCTGTGAGTAAATATGGGATAAATTCCTGAACAACTAGAGTATGAGGTTGAATTGCACTTCATTTATTATTTTGTATTGATTGAGGCTTTTCTTCACATCTTCTGGTACAATGGGTGCCAGAGTTTAATTGTGCATCTGTCTGTCTCTAAAAGTGAGATTATTCTTTTAATTTGGTTAATGTGGTGGTCAGTCACTGAAACCCAGTCATGTGAGGCTGCGGAGATTCTTTAGCAAAAATAAAAACAGATCTTTATTATGCAAGACAAAAACAGAAAGAAAAACAATTTGTTTTGCTGTGCTCAAATATGTTCCCAACCTATTTCCTAACAGCACCATTCAGCCCCTTGAGCCTGCTCTGCCATTCTACAGGATCAGAGCTGATCTGACATTCTTCATGGCTGCTTTCCTGTGATTTCCCCATAATCCTTCATCAAGAATCTATGTCAGCCTTCAATATACACAAGGTCCCACTTTGCCTCACTGTTCTGTGGCAAGGAGTTCCATAGTATCTCAACCCTCGACAGAAGAAATTCCTCTCATCTCATTCTTAAATTGGCAGTGGCCCTAATATCGGAGACTATGCTCTTTGGTCTGAGATTCTTCCATGAGGTGAAAAATCCTCTCAACATTTACCCTTTCAAGCCTAATCTAATATGTTTCCTCACTTCTCATTCTTCTGAACTCCAGTGAGTAGACTCCCAACAAGTTTAGCCTTTGCTCATACGACAGTCCCTCCATATGAGGGAATACCCTGGAGAACATTCTCTGAACTACCTCCAATGAAATGATACCTTTCCTTCCATAAGGGGACCAAAATTATTCTCAGCATTCGAGATGTGGTCTCACCGGCACCTTGTACAGTTGCAGTAAAACATCCCAACTCTAAATCTCCAACCCCTTTGAAATAAAGTGCCAATGTTCCATTAGTCTTCCTGATTACCTGCTGCAACTGTGTGCCCGCATCAATTTATACAGATTTAAATCCAGAGAAATTACACCCAATATTAAATCTCCAAGTGATATCTGAACTGGTTTGGCCCAAACTTTTCCTGTGAACTATGGAATTTTCTTTCATGAATATTCTCAAAATTCAGAGAATAAACATTTTCTGCTTCTAATACCTTCAGAGCTCAAACCAAACTCTCCTGGTTCGGAAGTTCTACTCGGGTGACTTTTTGTTCTTTTTTCCACTGAATTCTTCTGAGCTCTATATAGTAGAGAGACTAAACTTGATTCTGATCACAGTCAGATCTCCAAACTGAACAAAATACCTTCTAACCCTGGGTTTATAAACTAAAATCAATCCTTGATTATTCTGAACTGAAAACAAGATAACGTCAATTGATGTTTGCTCATCTGTTGTAAATCAACAGAGTCTAAACAATTTCCCATTAACTCCACATGGGGCTCCACAGCCACTTGCTTTCTGAGCAGTGCTGGAGGAAGGTCACTGTTTCACAAGGACTCTCACTTTTTATTCTAAAGAAAACTTTCAGAAAATGACCCACATTCAGTGTCTTTATTATAAAAGCCAACTTCCAAAACTGGAATTTGTATAAATTATACATCTTTCATCACTGCAGTTACTCTGGAACTCACTGGCATTCCAGCAGTTTTCGTAACTCAATGAATCCTTTCCCCGACACAGAGAAGGTGAACAGCCTCTCCCCAGTGTGAACTTACTGCTGCAGAGTGGGGCGAGTTTCTCACCTGAACTCAGTCCTGCAGTAAGAGCATCTGAACAGACTCACGTCAATGTGAACAAGTACGTAGGATGTCAGCTCCCAGGATCTTTTCAAATACTCCGCTCAGTTTGGACATTGAAAAGGCTTCTCCCCGGTGCAAACCCGATGGCTTCTCAGTTGGCTGGATGACTGAGTGATTGCTTTTCCACATTCAGCACATGAATAGATTCTTCACACAATGTACTCACTGGTGTTTCAGCAGGCTGGATGACGGAGGGAATATGTCCCACACTTGGTGCAGGGGATCAGCCTCTCCCCAGTGTGAAATGTCCACAAGTTGGCAGATTCAGTGAATCCCCTCACTCAGCTTCTCCACAGGCAGTCTGCTGATGTACAGTCAGTTCAGATAAACGCCTCAACACCATCCTGCAGTGGGAACAGGTAAACACTCTCTCATCAGTGTGAACTCACCGATGTGTCATCAAGCTGGATGCGTCGGAGAATCCCCTTCCCACACTAGAAGCTGGTGAATGGCCTCTCCCCAGTGTGAATTCGTTGATGCGTCTGGAGGCTGGAAGCCAAAGTGAATCCCTTGCCACACTCCGAGCAGATGAATGGCCTCTCCCCAGTGTGAACTCACTGGTGTATCAGCAAGTTGGAGGAATTAGTGAATCCCTGCCCATACTCCGAGCAGGAGAATGGTCTCTCCCCAGTGTGAACTCGCTGGTGTCTCTGCAGGTGGGATTTCTGACCGAATCCCTTGCCACATTCAGAGCAGGAGAACGGTTTCTCCCCAGTGTGACTGCGCCGATGAATTTCCAGTTCAGCTGGGGATCTGAATCCATTCCCACAGTCCCCACATTTCCATAGTTTCTCCTTGTGATTCCGTTTATGTTTCGAGAGGTCAGATGATTGGCTGAACACTTGTGCACACGCACTACACATATACAGTTTTTCACCGCTGTCAACGGTGTTTTCTCCTTCCATGTTCAAAGCCCAATGAGATTCAGGTTACACCGAATTGGGCCACTCTGAAATCCTGATCGGTTGCAGTTTCCCGACTATAAATCCTCTCCTTCTAATATCCTGTGGAATTGATTTAGAACAGAAATAATGGAAATGAGAGTCTCCCCATAAAAATACAAAGTCATGCATCTGTCCCAGTATCTCATTTGGCTCCATGTCAAATGTATGAACACAAAGGCCAATATATGAACGATCGGGCCCTCCTGCCTGCTCCATCATTCAATACGATCATGACCGAGGAGTTCATGTTTTGAATTTCCAGCTACACCCAATAACTTTTGATTCCCTGGTTGAACAAGAATCTATCCACCTCTGCCTTAAAAATGTTCAATGACCCAGTCTCGACTGCCTTTTGAGGCAGAGAGTTCCAAAGTCGCACTAATCTTGAAAAAATAACTCATCTCTTTTCCAAAACGAAGACTCCTCGTTTTAAAACGGTCTTCCCCATTCTGGACTTACCCTTAGGAGAAAATATGTCCACATTCACCTTGTCAAAACCAATTCAGGATATTAAACATGAGTCAAATCACACCTCATTTTTTTGAGCACGTGAGCATTCCCCAGGCTGTCCAAAATATCCTCAGAAGACAACCCACTCATTCAGATATCAGTCTACTGAACCTCCACCACATTTACATCCTTCCTTCAATAATGAGACCAAAACTGCACACAGTTGTGGAGGTGTGGTTTCACTTATGCCCTGTACAATGGAATCATCAACTCCTTACTTTTCTGTTTGATTCCACTCGTGATAAACAATAACATTCCATGAGCCTTCTTCATCATTTATTGTTAATTATATACCAATGTTTTGTGTATCACGCACCAGACCCCCTAGATATCTCAGCCCCACAAGATTCTGCACCTGCCCTCTGGTCTGATTTTCTTTTCTTGTTTTTGCCCTGGAGCGAACAATTTCACATTGTGTTATATCATAGCTCACCTGAAATATTCATTCAATAAGGCTGCAGACTGACGTAGGAAAATTAAGTCTTCTTCACAGCAACCTTTCCTGATAGCTTCGTATCAACACAAAGCGTAGCTACCATGACTTCATTCTCCTCATCCAAGTCATTGATATAAACTGCAAAAGGTTTTGGTTCAGCAGAACCCTGTGGGTCCCCACTTATCACATTCTGACAATCTGAAACAGACCCATTTATGGGTATTCTCGGTTTTCTGCCAGCCAGCCAATCCAGTATCCAGGCTGGTAAGTACCACTAAACCAGTAGCTCCCACTCTAAACAGACACCTTTTCCATGGTACCTTGTGAAATGCCTTCAGGAGAGCCAAGTACAATATATCATCAGGCTCCCTTTATCCACAGCACGTCACTCCTCATAGAATTCCACTAACTTGGAGAAACACAATGAAGTAATTGTTCCCTTAGTTGAAGGTTGAATAACACTGGGCATCATTTTGCAGTGAAAGGCAAGAGTTTTACAGGGGAATGGAGGAAAACATTTTTCACCTAAAGGGTGGTTTAAGTCTGGAATGCACTGCCTCACAACTCAACCTCCACCGCTCCAGGGAATAAAAGCCCCAGCCTTATCAGCCCCACCCCACAGCTCAAACCCTCCAATACCGGCAATATCCCTGTAAATCATTTCTGAACCCTTTCAGGATTCACAACTTCTTCCTCATAGCAGGGAAACCTGAACTGAAAACAGTATTCTAACTATGTCCTGTACAGTCGCAACATGACATCCCAACTCCGATAACTCAATGCAGTGACAAATGAAGGCGAGCGTACCAAATGCCTTCTTCACCATCCTGTCTACCTGCAACTCCGCTTTCAAGGAACTATGCACCTCCAACCCTAAGTTCCCTTGTTCGGCAACACTCCCCAGGGCCCTACCATGAACTGTCTAAATCCTACCCTGATTTGCCTTATTGAAATGCAACACCTCACATTTATCTAAACCAAACTCCATCTGCCACTCCTCAGCCCATTGATCAAGATCCCAAACTACTCAGTGAAGATAGTCTTCTTCACTGTCCACTACTCCACCAATGTTGGTGTCATCTGCAAACTTACTAACCATACTGTCACATCCAAATCATTTGTATAATTACAAAAAGCAGTGGACCCAGCACTGATCCTTATGACACACCACCTGGTCACAGGCCTCCAGTTCAAAAGACAACCCTCCACCACCACCCTCTGTTTCCTCCCTTGAATCCAAATTTGTATCCAACTGGCTAGCTCTTCCTGTACTCCAATACAATCTAACCTTGCTGACCAGTCTACCATGCGGAACCTTGTTGAGCATTTTGCTGAAGTCCATATAGACAATGTCTACCGTCCAGCCTTCAATCTTCTTTGCCACATTTTCAAAAAAACACAACCAACTTACTGAGACACGATTTCCCATGCACAAAGCCACGTTGACACTCCCTAATCAGTCCTTACCTTTCTAAATGCATTTAAATCCTTTTGTTCACTTTTATTTCTTCAGTTTTTTTTTAATTCATGCAGAGGTAGTGGGCATTGCTAGCGAGGCCAGCATTCATTGACATCCATAAACTGCCCAGAAAGCAGTTAAGAGTCAACATTGCTGTGGGTCTGGACACGTAAACCAGACCAGTTCAGGATGGCAGCTTTCTTCCCTAATGGACCTTAGTGAACCAGATGGTTTTGTTCCTAACAATCAACAATGGATTCATGACCATCGTTAGACTTAAAACCAGAGTTTTATTCAATTCAAATTCTACCAGCTGCCATGGCAGGATATGAACCCAGGTCCCCGGACTAATAGTCTGGTGATAATACCTCCAAATAATTGATTCTCATCTCCTAAATGACAGATCAACCTAACTGGCCTAAAGTTTCCTGTTGTCTGCCTTCCTCGCCTCTTTAATACAGGGGTTGTATCTGCTATTTTGCAGTGAGACAAACTTTCCAGAATCTAATGCATTTTGGAAAGTTAACACCCATGTTTCTGCAGCAACTGCAGAATATTTGTTCGCCAAACCATTTTTTTTTGTTATACACTCTCTGGAGAGTGTTTTTATAAGCAACCCGATCTTCTGTAGAGTCCAGCTCCCATTGACAACTTCACGCTGGAAACTGCGGGGCCCAGCTGGCTTTGAAAGGACTCAGGGTAAACTTAGCAGCTTCTCCTCCATCACCACTCCAGCTCAATCTGATGCAACAAAGACTTTCAAAAGCTAACTGGAAAAGCCCCTGAAGAGAAAAGAAAAGGGCAAATAATAGGAATCACTGATTTGCTTTTGGACAAAGGCCAGCACAGACACAATGGACAGAGTAGTCTCCTTCTCCATTGTAATCATTCAGGGATTTTGTGTGATTCAATTAATAGGAACCAATAGGCCACAATCTGTGACCAACACCCACCCTGTCAGAAATGGGCTTTTAATTCATCTGTCTGTGTTTCTAGACTTGGTTCTGGAAGCAAGGTCCAGGTGGGGTTGAGGAACCTATCAGCCATGAGTGAATGGCAGAGCAGACTCATTGGGCCAAATGGCCTAATTTCTGCTCCTATGTCTTATGGTCTTATTATCAAAAGAGCAGCAAAATACTGCAGCTGCTGCAAGTCTGAAATAAACAGAAAATGCTGGAAAATCGCAACAGGTCAGGCAGTATCTGAGGACAGAGAATCAGTTAACGTTAAGGGTGTGCAGAATAAGTTACAAGGAATAAAAAAAAAGGTTCAGAACTTGAGAGTCAATATAACCTCAGCATCGGAGGAGAAATGAAATGAATTGAATAATGCAGACAATTCACTGAAGTATGTAAAAAGAACAATCCAGTAGTTAGATTACAGAATTTCAACTTCACCAGCATTAATTGGTGTAGTCATGGTGTAAACAGTTTAGAGGGGCAGATTTATTCAAATGTACTCAGGAGTGTTTTTTATATCAACATGTAGTAGCTCCAACATGTGACAATGTAGTGCTGGATCTAATTCAGAGAATCCCGACAATGCAGAAAGAGGCCATACGGCAAATCTGGTCTGCACCGACCCTCCGAAAACATCTCACCTCAATCCAGTTTCCACCCTATCCCCATAACTCCACATTTCCCATGGCTAATTCAACTAGCCTGCACATCCCTGGACTTTACAGGGTTATTTAGCATCATCGATCCATCTAACTTGCACATCTTTGGACTGTGGGAGGAAACTGGAGCACCTGGAGGAAACCCACACAGACACGGGGAAGAATGTATAAACTCCACACAGACAGTCACCCAAGGCTGGAATCGAAGCCAGGTCCCTGGTGCTGTGAGGCAGCAGAGAGGAAAAACGGACTGTCTGCCAGAAAGGGCTGTGGGTTGGAGAAAGGCAAATTGTTTTAAAATAAGGCAGGGTCAGCCTTAGACAGCTTTGTGTGGGTAAACTTCAGCAGAACAGTGGGGTTGTTTAAAAGGGAATTAGGTGAAACATGTTCCCTTTGGGGGAAATGTGGGAGCATTTAAGAAATATTCTGATGGACAGTTGCGATGCAAAGGCAGACAGGGCTATGGGCCAAGTGCTGGAAAATTACAATAACTACTTAGTTGTCTATGACTGGCGCAGACTCAATGGGCCGAAGGGCCTTTCTGTCCACTGTAAACCTCTATAACTCTGTGACTCTATAAAAAGCCCAGAGAACTTTGGATGCCTATGAAATTTCAGGACTGAATAAGAAGGGAAGGAGAAGCTTTTAACAGGTACAAAGGGAGGAAAGTGATGGAGGTCCTAGAGGAGAATAGAATGTACAAGGGGGAAACATGAGAAAGAAATGAGGACAGCAAAGTGGGGCGTAATAAAACACTGGCAGGGAAGATTAGGGAGAATCCCAAGATATTCTACAAGGATATCAAGGAAAGAGCATAACCAGGGAAAGAGTCAGGCCCGTTAGGGACCAAGGGGGCAATCTGTGTGGAGCTCGAGGTCGTTGGCAGCATGTTAAATGAGTACTTCACATCTGTCTTTACTCAGGAGGAGGAGGATTATAGAATCATACAGTACAGAAGAGGCCCAATGGCCCAGCAAAACTATCCCGCTGCTGACACTAATCACACACTGGGCTTATAGCCTTGAATGTCATGACATTTCCAGAGCTCGTTCAAGTAGTTTTGAAAAGTTGAGCTTTCGTGCTTCAACTTCCTGCCCAGGGAGTACATTCCAGGCCCCCATCACCCTCTGGGTGAAAAAGGTTTTCCTCCAATCCCCTTTAAATCTTCTACCATTCACTGTGAAGTATTGCCCCCTTATTATTGACCCTTCAGCTGTCGGGAACAGCTGCTTTCTATCCACCCTGTCCATGCCCTTCATAATCTTACACATCTCTATCAGGTCACTCCTCAGCCTTCTCTGCTCCAAAGGCAACAACCTAAGAATATCCAGCCTCTCTTCATAGCTGAAATGATCCAACCAGGCAACATCTTGGTGAATCTCCTTTGCACCCCCTCCAGAGCAATCACATCCTTCCTACAGCGTGGTCATGAAAACTGCACACAGTACTCCAGCTGCGGCCGAACCAAAGTGCTGTGCAGCTCTGACATGACCTTCCTTGTTACCAAGTTGCATAGAGTAATCGTGAATTGGAAGGCAGGAAACAAGAATTTGTTGGCGCGGTCCCTTCAAAAGATAGAGTGCTTTTCTAAGATTAGAGATTTATACAGAAAATGGGTCTGTAAGCAGCTGCAGATTTCAGACAGTACTAAAAATGGAAACATGTACTGATTGGTTGCATAATTCGAATCCTATGGCTTGTTTTGATGTTTTGGCAATGAGCTGGAAGCAGTCAATTAATTTAAATCAAGCACTTAGGGATTGAAAGCCAATTGAATTTAAATCTGACGGTTTTGACAATCTCGGACCGATGCAATTGTAAGAAAAGGAACGGGTCATCATGAGTATATATAAAGAGCACATTTGGAAAATCAGCAGAGAGCCAACTGCCATCTGAAGGGTGTGAGAGCTAACCGCCATCTGAGAAATAAGCACGCAGCTCACTCAAGAAATCACTAAGCTCTCTAAGAAAGCACCATCCAATCCACAAAAGGTACCACCACGGCACTTCTAGCAAAGAGTCTTCACTGAGAAAACATCCCTGATAGTAGAATCAGCGGAAGAAAAGTGTTTGTGGCGTGAGATCAACAGAAGGAAGAGCATTCCAGAGACACATTCTATGCAAAGTTGGAGAGATTATGTTTTAATTTATTGTTGTCTTATTAATTGGGCTTATAATAAGTGGGACTTGTGTTTATTTGGACAACATGCCAGGACAATTCAGTTCAGTTAGGGAATACATTGTGCCTGGTGTATGGGGTGGGGTGGGGTGGGGGGGCTGGTATGGTTGGGACAAAAATTGTTCTGTTTGTCAGTAATTCTGTTCATTTGGTCATTGTTAGGGTTAAATAAATAAATTGTTATTGTTACTTGTGTTTGAACCAGTGGAGATCAGGGATTTTCTTTCTTTTAACCATTCTTTTATCAGATTACAAAGCAAGTTTCTCTGGGTGTTTCAAGGTCATTATTAGAAGGGAACCTCTACTCCCATAGTAACAGATTGGGGCTTGTGTTTTGGGTTAATTATCCGAAGGGTTTGACCTTCCCCTGCTTCGTAACACCCTGCTCTTGGAATCTATGCAATGACCAATAAAGGCAAGCGTCCCTTATGCATTCTTAACTGCATGAATTGACCTGTCCTGCCACCTTCAGGAATATGTAGACGAGCACATGAGATCCTTTTGTTCTTTTGAGCCTCCTAATGTTTTGCCATTCATGGAGTACACTCTTGTCTTGTTCCTTCTTCCAAAGTGCATCACCTCCCATTTAACAGGGTTAAATTCCAACTGCCACTATTTTGCCTTCTGACCAATCTGTTCATATATTCCAGTAACCTAACACCTGTCTCCTCACTGTCAAACACCCGACTAATTTTTGTGTCATTCACAAACTTAGTCATCATCTCTCTCAATTCTTATCGACATCATGTACGAATATCACAAAAAGCACTGATCCCTGTGGTATGTCACTGCACACTGCGTTCCAGTCACACAAACCGCCTTCTACCATCACCCTCTGTTCCCCAGTACTGAGCCAATTCAGCTTGGCAAGTTACCATGCATCCCATCAAGGATTGATTAGGGACAGTCAACGTGGTTTTGAGCACGTGAAATCGTGTCTCACTGACTTGACTGAGTTTGTTGAGGAAGAGACGAAGAGGATTGATGAAGGCAGAGCAGCGGACGTAGTCTATGTGGATTTCAATAAGGCGTTTCACAAAATTCCACACGGTAACCTGGTTAGCAAGGACAGATCACACGGAATACAGGGAAAACTAGCCATTTGGATACTCAACTGGCTCGAAGGTAGGAGGCAGAGGGTGGTAGTGGAGGAGGCTTGCTTCTTGAACTGGGGGCCTATGACCATCGGTGCTGGGTCCAATGCTTTTTGTCATTTCTATTAATGATTTGGATGGGAATATAGGAGGTATGGCTAGTAAGTTTGCAGATGACAGAAAAATTAGTGATGTAATGGACAGCCAAGAAGGTTATCTAAGAGTACAATGGGATCTTGATCAGATGGGCCAATGGGCCAAAGAGTTGTAGATGGGAGTTTAATTTAGAAAAATGTGAGATGCTGCATGTTGGAAAGGCAAATCAGGGCAGAACTTATACACTTAATGGTAAGGTCCTGGGGAATGTTGCTGAACAAAGAGACCTTGGAGTGCAGGTTCATAGTTCTTTGGAAGTGGAGTCGCAGGTAGACACAATAGTGAAGAAGGCGTTTGATACGCTTGTCTTTATTGGTCAGTGCATTGAGTATGGGAAATGTTTGGTCATGTTGAGGCTGGACAGGACATTGGTTAGGCCACTTTTGGAATACTATGTTCAGTTCTGTTCTCCCTGCTATCGGAAGGATGTTGCCAGGGCTGGAGGGTTTGAGCTAAAGGGAAAGGCTGAATGGGTAGCAACTATTTTCCCTGGAGCATCAGCGGCTGAGGGGTGACCGTATTAAAAGTTTATAAAATCAGGATGGGCACGGATGGGGTGAACAGCCAAGGTCTTTTCCCCCGGGTAGCAGAGTCCAAAACGAGAGGGCACAGATTTAAGGTAAGAGGGGTAAGATTTAAAAGGGACCCGAGGAACAACTTTTTCATGCAGATAGTGATGCGTGTATAGAATGAGCTGCGAGAAGTAGTGGTGAAGGCTGGTACGATTACAACAATTAAAAGGCATCTGGATGGGTACATGAATAGGAACGGTTGAGGGGGATATGGGCCAAATGCTAGCGAATGGGACTAGAATAATTTAGGATATCTGGACAGCATGACCGAATGTGACCGAAGGGTCTGTTTCCATGCTGTACATCTCGATGACTCTATATCAACATTGACTTCATCAGTCGAGGCACAGATTAGAAGAGCAGGGAGGTTATGTTGAAGCTGTACAGAATTTTGGTCAGACCACAGCTAGAGTACTGTATACAGTCCTGGTCACCACATTATAGGAAAGATGTGACATTACAGGACAGATGTGCAGCTGACAGGAAAATTGGTTACATTGGTGATAGTGAGGAGGATGCTCTCAGGCTACAGTCTGATATTGATCAACTAGTAAATTGGGCAGAGGGGGCTGTGTGGTCATGCATTTGGGAGGTTTCAGGTATACATAATTCTGACAGTTATAGACAATGCAGATCATGAGGATCTTTTCCCTATAGTAGACATGTCTAAGACCAGAGGGTATAGGTTTAAGGTGAGGAATAAGTGGTTTCGAGGAGATCTAAGGGAGAAAAAGAATTCACCCAGAGAGTGGTAGAAATATGGAACGCACGGGCTGAGATGGTGATGGAGGCAGGTACTCTCGCAACATCTAAAAAGCATCTGAATGAACACTTAAAAAGCCAGAACATAGCAGTCTATTGACCAAGCGCAGGTAAATGGGATTAGTGTAGTTTTGAGTTTGTTGGTCAGTATAGACACGGGGACCAAAGAGCCTGTTTCTATGCTGTATGACTCTACGACTCACTGTAACTCAATTCTATGGGCTAAAAGGTACTTTTATAGTGTTAGGTGACAGATCAGCATTGAATGATGGAACAGGATCCAGGGACTGAATGACCTACTCCTGTTCCTGTAAGATTGAGGGTCATAGACAGGGTGGATAGGAAGCATCTGTTCCCTTTAGTTGATGGGTCAATAGGACATCATTTAAGGGGAAAGACAGAAGATTGAGGGAATTTGATGAAGTTTGATGAAGTTTATGTTTTTCACTCGGACAGTGGTGGGTATTTGGAATACACCAGCTGGGAGGGTAAGTGAAGCAGGAAACTTCATAACCTTTAAAAACGTACTTGGCTGAGCACTTGAAACGTCATAACTTTTAAGACGATGGGCCAAGTACTGGAAAGTGGGAACAGTGTAAATAAGTATTTTTTTGGTGCAGACTCGATGGATCAAAGTGCCTCTTCTAAACTGTATGATTCTATGACTCTACAATTCCTGACGGTGAGAAGTACCGAGGGAAGATGGAGCTGGTAAGTCAGCAGCGCACACTTGGATGATGGGCAATGACAGAAACTTCAGAGATTCAGCAAACAAACACAAACATTAAACAGAGCAGGTTAGACAATGGCAGAGAGCTGATCAGGGAGGATAGAGGTGACACACAGTAATGGATGGCTTCAGATCCACAGGAAAGGAGTTACACAAGCCTCAGAGATGTGGATCCTCCCACAGATAACTGGCACACACCAAAAACCTCAAAATTGTAAAAGAATGGTCAAAGCTACTCACCGTTCAACAACAACACTGTCTGCAATTTGAAAATCTCCCGTTGGAGCCGGCACCTGTAAAGATATCAGAAACACCGGAGTCAGAAAAATCCCACATTTGAGGAAATCCCTGGGGAGCGGGTGACGTCATTGTGCAATTGTCAGTGTGTAATGACATCACAGCCACAAACAGAGAGCATTCTGGGTCTGTACAAACCAGTGATCACCCACACATTCTGAAGGATGGGAGGGTGGACAGGGGCTTTATCAGAATGGTTTGAGGGATCGGGGATTTCAGTTGCAAGGCTGCATTCAAGAAACTCATTGCTCCAAGGTGAATAAAGGACACAGAGGGGTGATAGCGGTATAAAAGTTATGACAGTCATAGAGGTTTACAAACAGAGAAAGAGGTCCTTCAGCCCATCAAGGCTGACTGGCACAGAAACAACGACCTTACTGTTCTCCTCCCATTTTCCAGCACTGGCCCAGAATCCTGCGCTGCACCCACACACACATCTAAATACTTCTTCAACGTTATGACTGTTTCTGACCCAACTACCTTTACAGGCAGCAAGTTCCACATTCCCACCGCCCTCGAGGGGAAAAATATTTTCCTCACATGCCTTCTAAAATCTCCTGCCTCTGATCGTAAATTTATGCACCCTGGTCATTGATCCCTCCACCAGGAGGAGAAGTTTCTTCCTGACTAATGTGTTGATAGAAATCAAGTAAATTAGAGCAGAAGTGGGCCATTCAGCCCTTTGAGCCTGCTCTGCTGTTAGTATTATCACGGCTGATCATATGCCTCAATTTACTTCCCACGTTTTGATTCCTTGAGCCAAATGCTATATCCGAATCCTTCTTGAAATCACACAATGGTTTGGCCTTGACGGCTTTCTGTGGTAGCAAATTCCACAAGCTCACCGCTCTCTGTGAAGAAATTTCTCCTTACCTCAGACCTAAAAGGTTTACCACATACCCTTAACCTGTGATTCCTGTTTCTGTGCACTCCTGGCATCGGGAACAACCTTCCTGCATCAAACCTGTCTAATCGTATTAAGATTTTATATGTTTCTCTGAGACCGCGCCCCCTACCTGATATTCTCTGTTGGAATTTGTCAAAAGCCTTCTCAAAATCCACATAAGCCATGCCCACTGATTCCCCCTCATGAACTCTGCTAATTAATTCCTAAAAGAATGCCAGGAGATTTGCCAAGCATCATTTCCCTTCAGAAATCCATGCTGACTCTGTCCAACCCAGCCACCGTTTTCCAACTGCTGTTATTCAGCATTTTATAAAATATCAAACCACAAATCAAAAGGGAATGAAACTGGTCAGAACGTCAAGCATCAATCCAGGCAGCAGAAGCAACAATGACACACTGCCCCTTATCTGTCCTATAAAATTCTCCTTACCGCAAACTTGGAACAATATTGCTGTTCCTGTATTGTTGGGTGGGTCAGAATCCTGGGGAATGTATTGGATTAATGGTATCAGTGCTGGACTATTAATTCAGAGAATGTTCTGGGAATCCAGATTCAAATTCTGCTATACGCCTCATAACGTATACATCTCAACTCTGCTCCTCTCAATCTCCTCTGCTCCAAAGAAAACAATCCCAGTCTGTCCAACTTTTCTTCACAACTAAAACTCTCCAGCCCATACGGTATTCTGGTAAATCTTCTCTGTGCTGTCTCCAGTGAAATCACATCTCTCCTGTTCTTTGGATTCCAGAACTGCACACAACACTCTAGCTGTGGCCTAACCAACTATATATACATTTCCAGCATAACCTCCCTGCCCCTAAACCCTACGCCTCGGCTAATAAAGGCAAGTGTCCCATTTGCCTTTTAACCACTTGACCTGCCTGTCCTCTTCCCTTAAGGGATGGATGGACTTGCACAGCAGGGTCCTATGGATCTTCAGTCTGACAGATCCTCAGTCCTCCATTGTTATTCATGTATTCCATTGGCTCGTTTGCCCTGCCCAAGTGTATCACCTCTCACTTATCTGAATTAAATTCCAACTTCTACTGATCAGCCCGTCTTACCAGCCAATCTATATCCTCCTGTAATCTAAGAACAAAAGAACTAGCAGCAGGAGTAGCAATTCAGCCATTTAATAAAATTGTGACTGATCTCATCCCACCCCAACTGCACTTTCCTGCCTACTGCCCATAAACTTTCAGCCCATGAATAATTACTCATTAAATTACCTCCTTAAATTTACTTAATGTCCCAGCATTCACCTCATTATGTCATAGTGAATTTCACCGATTTACAACCATCTGAGACAAGTAATTTCTCCTCATCTGCGTTAAACCTGCCAACCCTTATTCTAAAACTATAACCTCTCACTCCAGAACGTCGTACAGAAGGAAACATCCTTTCAACTTCCACTTTCTCAATGCTTTGCAGCATACTATATAACTCAACGAGGTAGCCGCTCATTCTTAAACACTTCAGAGTATAGGCCTAAATTGCACAACCACTCTTCAGAAGGCTGTCCTCCTCACTATTTACCACCCACCAATTTTCATATCACCCATGAATTTATTGATCAACACCTGACATCCATTGTGATTCGCTTATATGAACACAAACAGGAAGGGTCCCAATATTGATCCCAGTGGAAGCCCACTAGATACAGGCTTCCAGTCACAAAAATATGCCAAACAGACTCTGTTTGCTTCTCACCACTCAGCCAACTCTGGAGCCAATCAGCCAAATTATCTTGATTATTATGAACTCTTTCCTTTGCTGTCAGTCTCCTCTGTGGGACTTTATCAAAACTCTTGATGAAATCCAAGCAGACTGTGTCGAATGAATTGCCCTCATCGACACACCTGGCTACTTCTTCGCTAAAAAAAAGTTGGTCAGACATAACCTCCCCTTAACAAAACTGTGCTAACTGTTGCTGACTAATTACTTCCGCTCCAAGTGCAGATTAATTCTGTCCCTCAGAATTGCTTCTAATGGTTTCCCCACCACTGAGGTGAGACAGACTGGATTGTAATTTCCTGGTTGATCCCTTGTTCCCTTCTCGAATAACAATCCCACATCACAGAGTCATAGATTCAGAGTCATACAGCATGGAAACAGACCCTTCGGTCCAACCAGCCCACGCTGAATAAAATCCCAAACTAAACTAGTCCCAACTGCCTGCTCCTGGCCCATATCCCTCCAAACCTTTCCTATTCATACATCCATCCAAATGACTCTTAAACATTGTAATTGTACGCACATCCACCACTTCTTCAGGAGGTACATTCCACACGCAATGCACCCTGTGCAAACAAGTTGCCTCATGTCTTTTTCAAATCTCTCTCCTCTCACATTAAGTATGTGCCCCCTGGTCTTGAAGTTCGCCATCTGAGAGAAAAGACAACTACCATCAACTCGATCTATACCTCTCGTTATTTCATAAACTTTATCAAGTCACCTCTCAACCTCCTACGCTCCAGTGAAAGAAGTCCCAGCCTATTCAGCCTTTCCTTATAACTCAAAACTTCCATACCTGGCAACATCCTGGTAAATCTCTTCTGAACTCTCTCTAATTTGATAAGGTTCTTCGTATAACTGAGCAATGAAGGTAAGCGTGCTAAATGCCTTCTTATCCATCCTGTCCATATGTGACGCGAATTTTAAAGAATTATGTTCCTACATCCCTAGGACCCTCTGTTCCACAAGACTACCATTAATTGTATAAGCCCTGCCCTTGTTTCTTGTACCTAAATGCAATACCTCATAATTATTCAGATTGAAATCCATTTGCCATTTTTCAACCATTGACCCATTTGATCAAGATCCTATAGTAATCTTAGAAAACCTTATTCACTGTTGGTGTTATCTGCAAACTTACTAACATGCCTTCTAGATTCTCATCTAAATCATTCATATAAATGACAAACAAAAGAGAACACAGAACCAATCCATGCAGAACATCGCTGGTCACAGGCCTCCAGTTGGAAAAGCAAGCCTCCACCATGACTCTCTGTCTCCTGCTGTTAAGCCAATAATGTATCCAGTTGGCAAGCTCACCCTGAATCCCATGTGACCTAACTTTACTAATTCATCTACCATGCAGAACCTTGTCAAAACTTTTTACGAAAATCCAAATAAACAACGTCTACTGCTCTGCCATCATCAACCTTTTTGGTAACTTCCTTAAAAAATTCAATCTAGTTTGTGAGACACGATTTTCCTCACACAAAACCATGCTGCCTATCCATAATCAATTTTTGCCTCTCTAAATGTCCATAAATACTATCTTATATAATCACCTCCAACAACTTACCCACAACTGAAGTCAGACTCACAGGTTTATAGTTCCCCGGTTTCTCCTTACAACCTTTCTTTGACAACCAGGTCTTTGGCATCTCCCCAGCGCTCAGAAAGCAGTTAAAAATTATTGCCAGTGCCCCTGCTATTTTTGGTCTTACCTTATTTACCAATCTGGGATACATTTAATCCGGCCCAGGAGATTTTTGCTTTTAAGCCTGCTGGACCAATCAGAAGCTTCCTCTCTTTCTAAGCTAATTTTTTTGAAGTGTATCACTGTCCTTCTTTCTGATTTCCAAACCCACGTCACCCCTTTCACTTATATTTTTCCAATTATCCTTTCATGTCCCTTTAATGCTCTAATTTCCTTTTCTAAGACTCCCCCTGCACATTCAGTACTTGGCTACGGCTTCTGCTGTTTTGAACCTTTCGTAGCAGCTAAATGCCTCCATTCTTCTCTTTTGCCAATCCTGTATATCCAGGGTTCACAAGATTTGTTGGTCCCACCCTTCGACATTATTGGAACTCTCAATTTCCTTCTTCAATGTATCCCACTGATGTGACACACGTTTACCGAAATGTATCTGCTCCCAGCCCACTCTAGCCAAATCATATTCGATCTTATTACAATTTGCCTTCAACTGGTTTAGAACTTTGATTCCATGCCCATCCTTGTGCCGTACTAAACAATCTTGAATCTAACAGAGTTACGATCAATGTCTGCAACTGATTCCCCCACTGATATTTCAAGTCCTTGCTTGGCTTCAATTACCTAAAATTAAGTTTAGTACCATTCCTCTCTTGTAGAGTCTTCTTCAGACTGGCTTCAAAAGCTGCCCTGGATGCATGTTAAGAATTCCATTCCTCTAAACCTTTCACACTTTGACTACCCCAGTTGATGTTGGGAAAAGTTCTTCCTCCTCTAGAACATAGAACATAGAACATAGAACATAGAACATAGAACATAGAA